TGGCGATTCCCTAAGTGGACCTTGAAATCTTTCCAAGTTCATAAAAATTTTACACTCAAGTAGGGAGTATATCTAACAAACATACTCAGATACATGTAAAATATACCTCATGCCGCTTTGTGCCTCTCCTAAACATATATCTTTAAATAACTGAGGTTCAAAGTCAATTTATTACCAGCATACGGCTGCACATCAAAATGCACGATATAGTCCCTTTATGCTACATGAGAAGAACAAACAAAATGTACAGTAGAGTAACAGCATATATAGTAATAGTTTCGTAATTGCTAAATGCCTGTAACAAGTTCCAAGTGCCCAAAAAGATGTCTTCGAATTGCTGGTGTTATCTGGCCGAAAGTCAAAAACCCAAAGATATCAATGTGCAATTAATATAAAATCCAAAGCTTGGGTAAACCAGATTGTCTGCAGTTATCAGACAGTTAAATTTGATGCTTTTAAACACAACTTTAGGACTGTTTTTTTGTACAAATCATGCTTTACTCATTTAAGCATCACGGGTAAGCATTGCAGGCAAGTATATATGTGGTCTTGTGCAGAGGTATGTGTTATGTAGACTAGGGCTACAACTAACGATTATTTTCATTGTTGACTAATCTGTCAATTATTTCTTCGATTAGTCGACTAATCAATTTATCGAAAAATGTGTTAAAATGTTGAAAAATGTCAGTCTGTCTCTCCCAAACCCCCAAATTATCTAATGTCTTGTTTCGTACTCACGCCAAAGGGTTTTAGTTCACTGTCATGGGAGAGTGTGTAAAGCTGCCAATATTTGAACGTAAGAAGCTGCAATAAGAGTATTTTGGGGTACTTTTATAGTACTTTTCTATGAAGAATGACTCAAACCGATTAGTCCACTACTAAAATAGTCACCAATTATTTTATTAGTCGATTAGTTGTTGCAGCCCTAATGTAGACATATGGTTATTAGATTGAGTTAAGTTGATCTACATTTTGCCAGCAGGTAAGAGCAAGTATGAGGCAAAATGACAGTAATATAGTTGTTTTTTAAGATTTGTAACATTAGAAATGTGGACTTGTGGACTCATTTTAACAAAATAGAAATTAAAAGATGTGTGAATCAAATTATATAAACTGTTAGTAGTAGTTATGACCTCACAAATTAAGTTTTAAGACTTTACTGACTGTTAAGGCCTTATGGTTGTACAATTGAAAAGAAGACATTTTAAAAGTTTTAAGGACCTGCAGACACCCTGTAAACATTCCCATGTGGGCAGTTAGCATGGGGCCATTATGGAACCCATGGACAATCCCATATGGGGCCCATTTTTTAAGCTCATTTCTACCCACATGGGGCCAACAGCAGTAGTAGTAATAGTCAGTAATGATAGTAGCATTATTTGTTTATTAAAAGGACATTTTTTGGACTGCTGCTTATCATTATGTGACTGATAGTTTCATTGCTAGTTGTGATTAAGTATTCCAGTTGTGACCCTGGCCACAAAGTTTACAAAATGTGCATGTTATAATAACACATCAGTAAATGCAGCTGTCTTACCTTACTGTATGCCGAATTGAAGATACTATGCTCAGGCTTTAAGAAGCTACTTTGAAATTGCGTACTAACTAACACGCAGAGCTAACGTTACATGAAGATTGAGTTTTTTTTACAGTTGAATTTGGCGTGACTTTATTTCATTATGACACAACGACGTTCATGTGACAAAGAGGCTTCAGCAGAGCTCAGCTATCAATAGCACAAACTGTGTCTTAGCTTAGTGTCAACAGGCTAATCTCTGACTGCTGTCTCTAACCTCAGACCAGGACCTGAAGACTTCACAGACCTACAGACTGGTAGCTTACCTGGTTATAGCTCTGCGGCAGGAAGTCAAAGGAGTGCAGACAGATCTGAGCATCGGTGCAGACACTCGACCAGCGCCAGGCACGTTTGATTTCAGCACGGCGGCTCCCTCGCAGGACACCATCCGGAGCACCGCCCACACAGCCCGCACCATCGCCTGACCAAAACAGAAAACCAATCACAAGGTCTGGAGCTGTGGGCGGTGGTAAAAACTGGAGAGGAGTTAACCCAGTGAGGATCGGAGGACACACTGCTGATAACACAGAGGATAAACATTAACGTGACTGCACATAAAATGTGAGATTTTAAAGGTTAACTTATAGACTGACTGCTTTTAACTCGTAAAATTAGAAACACTTATATCCACTACTACTTTACTTTACTTCAGTAAAAATATCAGTACAACTGTGTTAATATACTACATTACCATGTAAGGATTACTGAAAGGGCATGTTAGTGCTTTTTCTGTTTCCACAGTGAAAAATTGTGGATGGTACCAAAATAACCGTTCCATAAACGTCCCCATGTTTGGTCCCCCCTCTGTTGGGGTACCTAGCACACAGATCTGGCGCTAAAAGGTGGAGCTGTGAACACTGCAGGCTGTTGATTGGTCAATAGAGGACGGTCACTCTGCTCAGGGCTGAGTTGTGTCTGGTTTTGAGGCTCATGTAACCACTGTTCATACTGTGGAGAGTTTTACATACATTAGGAAACTACAACTATAAAATTAAAGGATGTTTTTCTGCCTGTTGCAGCAGCTAGAGTCTGAGAAAAAATAACTTGATTTTCCCATAGGACAAAAACCCACTAACACCCACTAACATCTCGCTTTTGTATGTGATGTGAAAGGTTACAGCCGGCATTCACACCCTGGTCAAATTACTCTGCAGTAGTCACGGGTATTAATCAACTCCAGCTCTGATCAGAAGTAGAAGTAATAGAAAAACATATGGGTGAGCGTACTAATTTTAGCCCCTTTATTGGCGAGATGCAGTGACACACACTACAAAATACTGTCCAAATACTGCAGCGCTCAAACATCATTCCAAATTAGTCAACACAGCTTGAAAGAGATAGAAGATACAAAAAAAGAAGTAACCACGTAACATTTTCAGTGGCCTTCATGCAGCTTTCTATTGTTTACTAACTTGTTTTCTGGCCTGTCCATGAAGTCGAATTAGACTAGTTAAAAACAAAAAAACAACAGAAAGGCATGCTCGTCTGCTGCAGAGCCATGTACACGTCTCGAGTCTGCTGGCAATGGGAAAAGAGATTAACGCCTCTTTTTAGTGGGTTTTCCTATGTTTAAAAAACCTGTGTACATGTGCTAATTTTAGTGGAAAAGGGGTAAAAGAGATGCAAAGGAATAATATAAGAATAATTAAAGAAAGAGCCCCCCCCCCAAAAAAAACAACACAGGGACACAAAATGACCAATAAGACACTAAAGGGGCACCCAGTGGCTTAGTGGGTAGAGCAGGCATCCAATATATCAACGCAATGTCCTTGCAGCTGCTTGATTCCACCCTGCAGCCCCCTGCTGCATGTCAGCCCTCTCTTTCCCCCTTCATGCTTAAGCCCTTTTTAGATAGGAATTGTGCAAATTTACAAGAAAGCCTAATCAGTCTTTTTTCAGCATTGGCAGTATAAAAACAAAATTGGGGAGTGCGGCAAAATGACGCCTACCTACTTTTGTTTATACAGAATGCGCCTTTTTCAGGGCAATGGGGGGCGTGAGCAGGTAACAAAACGTGTAGCTCAGCATGTGACGTAAATAGCCTTGCTCCGAGGGAAGCCGCGGCTGGTCAGTCCTTCGGCAATTCCCTCATAAGTCGGCCCGTTCTTCACCGTCCCCGTCATCTGACGGTTAATGGCCTCTTCATTTGCGAGGGCAAGGAGGGCGCGCAATTCTTTGTCTCCCCTGTTGCTCATCTTTACAGTGTCTTTCAGGTTTGCGTTTCCCTCTTGCTACTAGCTGCTCCCTAATTCCTGCTATCAGCTGTTTCCTGTTAGTCCACTGCCAGCGGGTCGCACGTGCAGCGTCATCAACAGCTCCTCCCAGAAGTCATCAACAGCCCCTCCCATGGCGGAAGGGCACCTCATTCTTTTTAAACCAAAACGGTTCTGCCAATATGTTTAGCCCTACGTGGCGGAAAATTAGGCACCTCGGATCAACTTGCCAATCCGGCTCTGTGTGTTTAAACGCTCACGGCTTGCCGGCAAAACGGCCAAACATTCGCCGAAAATCTGGCAGTGTAAAAGGGTCTTAAGAAAGGGAAAAGTCCAAAAAAAAAAAGCCACACACAAAAAGATGCATTATATTTACAAGCTTATGCAAAACAATAACACAAAATGAGGCCTATGATCCATGAACTGTGTGTGTGTCTTGCCACTCAAGTGGGGGGTCTTTTGCATATCTGTGCCCAGGGACCAATTGTCTGATGACCCGCCCCTGTCCATTACAAGTTAAAAGTCCCGTATTGAAATTGTTGCTCAAGTAAAAGTATAGTAGTTTACTCAGCAGTAAAAGTAAAAGCACTCAATGCAGTATAATAGCCCACGTGGGCATTATATTACTGGCTATGATTGATGCATTACCATTAAAGCATACAGTAGTAAATAGTGGGATGTTATTTTGTCGCTCCAGCAGACTCCACTTCGTGTTTTCCTGTGAACACTGACTGTCAACACGCCATCAGACCACTACGCAGCACAGCCTGAGCACAGCCAACATCACCCAGGCCCCTGACAACCGAACATAAGTATGCACTGTCTGCTACACACACAGCCTACACACAAACTGATACACGTTACATTACTCACACAATAGTTTACCTGTCTCAGGTAGATACACCTTGTTCACGGCGATATTTTAGAGCTGCACACAGTGGTCTAGCCAGCTAGCTTTCACTCCCTGCCTCTGAGGTCACGGTCTCTCATTGGACACCGTGACATCGGCGCGGCAGCTCATTGGCTAACAAAGTGCAAACACAAATCACGTGATGCGGAAGTCGGTGCGCCAATAAAATACGTGATGTGTCAAATTTGGGTAAAAAATCTGATACTTGTCAAACTGTAACGTGTCAGTAACGGTTAAAATCATACATCGATAACGTGTGTAAAATAACATACTGTGAAATGTACATACATGTGGAGTTAGGAAGGTCATAGGTCATGTATGCTGTGGTTAGCTAGCAGCCGTGTGGTGTGTAAACGTTAGATGCCGCAGTGAAGAGATGTGGCAGCTCGTCTGCTTTACCTGCAGCTGATTTTATTTCAAGACCACCGAGATAACTTAGAGTGAATTCAGTGACAGCGGTGAGTGTCTGTGTTGTATCGTGACATAACAGTATCATAGGTTGGTCACAAGTCACGACAGCAACGTCGAGCATTCATTTTGCAAGCGTGATTCACCCTGTTAACTTGTTATGGGTCGTTATTGGGCATAATGTTACATGGATACACGTGTTGACTGGCGGATGTTATACTTTCAGTTTCAGTCTTGCTTGTAAATTGTCGTTAAGCTAGCTAACTAATGTTATGCGTTGTCCAAATGTTAAATATGGCGCCACGCCACCATATCTACAGCACAAACCTGCACAGTGCTCTGAACATGTTGTACCTTGAGGCTGAACTTCATTAAGATTCTGTTAATTTTAATATCTTACAGCAAGTAGGTGAATTATAGCAGATGACTTCAGGTCTGTCAGGCTTCACAGGCTGCTGATAGTAAATTCGGGTGACATATAATTTACCAAGGGACGCTTATTTGTTCTACAGAGTGTGTAACTTCACTTTTTTTAACCTGTTACCTTCATAGTCCCTCTTTCAACAGTGGGTGGGTGTCAATATGTCTTTATTTTTATTTTACTTTTTGTATTCTTTTGTTGGGTTGCCTATGAGCAAAGCAGCATTAAATTCATGGACTTTTTAACAGTATTTGGAATTATGTTGTTTCAGAGCAGCCATTATAATGTCAGCACAAATCTGCACAGTCCTCTAAGCATGTTGTGCCTTGAGGCTGAACTTCATTAAGATTCTGTATATTTTAATATCATACAGCCAGCTGGCAAATGTAGGTAAATTATAGCAGATGACTTCAGGTCACAGCATGGCACAGGCTGCTGATAGTAAATTCACAGGCTGCTGATAGTAAATTCAGGTGACATAAAATTTACCATAATGTATAACTTAAAGGTTTTTTTATTTTTTACCTGTTATCCACATAGTCCCTCTTTTAACAGTGGTTGGGAATCAGTTTTTCTTTTTGTTTCTTTTGTTTTGTTTTAATCTTTTTGAATAAGATGTCTTAAAGTCAGGTTCTACAAAGTATGCTTTATGCCTTTAAGTAAAGCAGCAAAGCAGTTTAATCCTGTTATTCCCGTAGTCCCTCCTTCTTTCAGCCAGAGGATTTACAAAAACAGTCACAATTTTTTTACGTCATGCCTGTTTTGGCAGTTATATATCAAAACAAAATGAAGTGCTTAAAGGAAATAAATAAATAAATAACTAAATAAACAAGCCAAAATTAAACAGACACAGTAACAAATACATCAAAAAGATAAACATCAAGGTTTAAGTCAGTTTCCATTCGATTCCTCATCAAGACATCTATCTCTATTATCTGAGAGAATATATTTTGTTGAGTTTCTTTCACTTTCTCAAGTCACACTTTGACCAATTCAATCCCAAATAAAAAGGAAATTAATTATTCATAAGGAAAAAATACTTGTAACTTGTTATGTCATTTGCAAAAATAGGAAAACATAATCAAATTTCCAAATAGAAAATTTATCGAGTTCCTTCTCCAGTGGCTGTATTTCACAGGCATCAATTGTTGGCACCAAATAAAACTATGTGTGGTACAGAACAAGTGGGAGGGATGGTAAAATTCAAATTATGCACATGTTTCTCACATTAAACAGGAGTCAGTAAAGTTAATAATCTTGAAATTATGTTTTATTGGAAAAGCTTTTTGCTTACAAGCAAAGCAGCATTAAATTACTGGACTTTCAAATGTGGTTTGGCTGTATGCTGCTTCAGAGCAGCAGGTATCAGGGTCAGACTGATTCAACACGCTCTTTAAATCTGAATATATCTGCTTGTATCAGTTTGGATCCATGCAGGGAAGGCTACCCTTCACCTTGAGCAGTTCCTGCAATGGCTGTGAACCTAAACTCAACTTCCTTTTTACTTGCACACAGGTGGAGATAACCGACCAGCCTTATCCACCCACCAGCCAACTAGCGAGCCTGGCCTTTGTGTACCTGCTTCTCAGGTAAGAGGTGAGCAGGGGGCAGGGCCACCCGCACGGTAGGAGGGATGCCTGTGGAGGGCGGAAGCAGCAGTGGCTCTGCTTCAGCTGCCCGTCACCCCAAGCAGAAGCGCAAGGCTCACAGCTTGTCTATCCGGCGCACCAACAGCACAGAGGAGAGGCCAGCAGGCATCCAAAGAGGAGACATGCTGGAGGGACAGGTGAGGGGGATGCACAGACAATGCCTTTTGTCTCGCTGTCAGCACACTCTGACAGTGGCAGACAAGCATTTTGGCAAATATAGAGCTTATACTGCACACATAACATGTCTTATAAACATGCTCCACAGAGTTTTTTGTGGATCTGCTCATAAAACACCTACTATAAAGTGATTCTTTACTAAATAGCATTTTGATTGTTATTCAGTTTTGGTGTGAGTCTGTTTTTTGTCAGTCATGAGAGTACAAGCCGGTTGAGCAGCATTGCTTTTATTTTGTACCTGGTGTTGCAACATCCACAGCCCCATGCTACCTTGTATTTACGAGATGTGGTTTCCTCCCCTGGGGAAAGTGTAAGTGTTTTTATTAGGGAGCTACAGGATCCTACTTTGGAGTAAACTTGCTTTTGCCCAAGTGTTCATGTCATCTGGATTTTACATTCTCTAATCTTTGAAGGACTGTCTGGTGTGGATGCGCCTGCTGGTTACTGATTTTCTTTTTGTCAAAACAAAGGGATGTACTGTGACTTTATAAACCCACTGGTGCCATAAAGTTAGTGATTAACTATCTTCAAACAGGTTATTTAAATTGGAGATTGATTTATTTCCTCCAGAACGGACAAGACTGTAACTGAAGCCTTTACACAAGCAGGCATTTCCTGATGCAAACCAGTCATGGCAAACTGTCAAGCTTCTTCACCACTGAAACAATAAAAGCTGTTTTTGTTTGATCAAGAACACCCTGGTTGTTAACTATTGGGAGTTGGCTGCAGACTGACCTTACTAAGAGTCGTCTCTCGGATAAGCTGAACAAAGGGTTTGTGTCAGGGATGTTTTAGAAGTGTTTTAGATTAAGGATAGACCGATACATTGGCCGGCCGATATATCAGGCCGATATTTGAGTTTTTTACTTGTATCGGCATCGGCCGATATGCGCGTGGGTTCGCGGATTTATTTTTCCCTGGCAATTTTTTTCATTTGAAAGTATGTGGTTAAGTTGAACAAAGCTGTTGAATCCTACTGTGTACAGTAGTTGTTGTTTTATTTATGCTTCAGCTTAAATATTTGTTTATTTTATAAAGACATTACTGGAAGATTTAAGAGCACTGAACTCTTTTTTTTATTTGAATGTATAATAATAATAATAATGATATTCTACCTGTTCTACCTCAACTTTCCATCTTGTTTTAGTATTTTTTACTGTTCAATAAATGTTTCTTATTTTAAACTTGAGACCTGTAATATTTGTTATCATTGTGTCATTTTTTTTATGTAAATTGAGGGAGCAAAAGCAGTATCGGCCCCAAATATCGGCTCAAGAAAATCGGCAGTCCATAATCGGTCATCGGCTAAGGGTGATGGAAAAAAATTGGTATCGGCATCGGCCCTAAAAAATCCATATCGGTCTATCCCTATTTTAGATGGTATCATCATGTATTTCTGTCACGGGAGATAAAACCTGTTGAATGAAAAACAAAACATTGACTGTGCCTTTGTCATGATCCAGGTTTTGGCTCAATGTATTCAGGTGGAAATAATGTGATGCTTATGTTTGTAGGTATTGCCCAGCTCTAGTTTTGGTCATGGAGGTCCTTGAACATTTACTTTCTGTGCTTGACAATGTCCTTGAATTATCAACCACTAAACCTGGAGCTCAGCTTGCACTGGCCTGTTGTCTCATCAAGTTTTAATATGGGCCGCTTGTCCAGGTCTGATTAGTCTTTTCACCAGGCCTTTTTGTCCACTGCCAAGACATGCTGGCTCTGTTTATGTACCTAGTCTACCCCCCACAGCACAGAGTAACACACGCACACACACACACACACACACACACACACACACACACACACAGCTTTATAAACCTATATATAATACACAGGATGCATTTTCTTCTGCGCTTTCAATGCTGTCATTATTAGCCAGAGTACACTGCAGGTTTTAGTGCCACAACTAAGCAGCTTTAAATTCATAAGGGTGGCCTGTTGTTTGCTAATTGAGCTTTTTTTTTTTTTTGGTCAAGTGTGTGTTGACACGGGGCACAGACAGAGCGATCAGGCGGTTAACGTCACTGTGGCAAACTGTTGTTGATTTTGAGCGCGTGCCAGAAGAAAGAGTGACAGTCAAGTATTTGGTTTCCTCGTCTTTCAGATGGCTGGAGAAAGCAGCAGCTCTTAAGGCGTGCTGTTAAACGCAGCCTTTGTTTTCACGGCAGCTTTTTTCGGTTTCTTTGCATGCTAGTCTGGTGTAGACTGGTGGTCACCTGGTAACCGGTACCTCTAGGAGTTCGCCATGGAGGTAAGTCAGTTGAAATGAGTTGGGTGGTTGCACTCTTGGCTGTTGTGTAGTTAGTAAATTGTTTTGTAGGTTATAAGTTGCGTAGCACAAACTGTAGCTGGTGGCTGATTGTATCAGGTGAACATGCAGGCTGTGTTTGACTTGAGATTTATATGTGTAGCTTTCGATTTGTTTAAGTGGTGTGTATTTTATGAGTCACCCAAACTTATGTGTGAGTAGTGATAATATATGAAACAGTAGTTTGTCACTGTAAAACTGTAGTCTTGCCTGTGTTGAAGTTCAGAGTTTTAAGCATAACATATTGAATATACCACATTATTATAAATAAAAGATAATACGACGCTGGAGAGGGATCAGGAGGAAATAAAAGTGGTGACTTATTCTTAATTTTTAGGCCCATATGTCAGCTTACCATCAAGTGTATTAAAACTTTGTTCTTTTCTTGTCTGTCTGTCCAGGACTCCAAGCTGCCCCTCTCCTTACGGACCAATCTTCTTGACCTTTTTGGCCAGATTGAGCGCGAGTTTGAAAATCTTTACATCGAAAACCTTGAACGTGAGTAACTGATCGAAAGAGTCCAGCAAATGTACTTAGGGTGCTTTCACACCTGCACTGTTTGGTTCAGTTCAATGGAACTCAAGTTTGTTTACCCCCGTAAATGTGGTTCATTTGGGCAGGTGTGAACACAGCAATCACACTCAGGTGTGCACCAAAACAACCGGACTGAGACCTTCTTGAAGAGGTGGTCTCGGTCCGGTTCCAAACGAACTCTTGTGGTGAGAACGTGTTCCGACCTGGATGTGAACCAACTGCAGTCACATGACACATTGTTTGGGTTAAACATGAGCATGTTACAGTCCTGGAGGATTATTAATGTGCACCTCCTCCTGTACTGCCTTAATATACACATTCAGCACAAACAATGCATCAAAACATTGTTTTCTAGTTGGAGCAGAGCCTCGTTTTCAAACTGTATGATTTGACTAAAATGAACAATGACAGCAATATAGTCCAAGATGAGCAGCGCTAAAATCAACCTGCGTAGTTGTCCCTCCACTGTGACATTAGAAAGTGTCACATTTATCTTGCAAGTGTACTCTTCTTCAACGTTTGCTTTACTTCCTGGATTTTTCCCACATGGAAATTCTGACCAATCAAGAGCAGCTTTCTCACACAAGGCATTTGATCTGGTCCGCTTGTAAATGCTGCCGTGAGAACACGAACCAACTCTAGGCAATTATACAACTTTGTAACAAAATTAGTCCCTGATTCAGACCAAAGGAGACGACTCTAGGTCTGAAAGCACCCTTAGATTTCTTGGGTGTATACCTTTTAAGTATTGATCTTCAGGTGTTGATTGACTAACCAGACAGTTCCAGAGTTTGTTTGCTTACTGATGTCCTGTCACTGTGCTAACATTACAGTACGGCGGGAAATTGACTCTCTGAATGAGCGTCTGACTGGAGATGGACAGACTGTTGAGGGAGGAGACCCCACCAAAGGAGCTCTGAAAACAAAAGGTACATTATTTCCTTAACAATCTGCTGCAGGTGTCAGTATATTTGAAGTTATGCTATGCAGGAAAAGTCGCCAACTGTTTGTAGATGCAACATTTAAGAAAGTTGCTAACTATGTATTACACTGTATTTTGGGCATACAAACAAGCAGCAACATGTCCACAGGTAGAAGATGGACAGCACTGTGTGTACGACTGATTTAATGAGACATGAATAGGACAGAAGTGCTAATCAACAGTATAAAACTACAGTTTGATTGTTGTTGATGCACAGAGCAGCCATCTTGAAATTTTGAGGTTGGGGTTTGGGTGGGTCCTCTGACTTGTAGTTGGAAATTCCACTTTGGGGGCGTTCAAGCTGAAATTTCTAACTGGGAGCCATGGATGTATGAAGAAACCTGGATACAGCGTTGAAGGCAGGACACCGTTCATTCCTAACATGAAGCCAGAAAAGCTCTCTTGAGATTCTTCAAGACTTTACAAATGATATGGGACTGAATGGAGCAAGTCATTTTTTGGAGGTTGTGACACTCAAAGAAATGTATCCACTGATTTACAGACGTCTCTTTCCAAATGTAAGTCTTTGGGAGAATGTTTTTTTGGGCCGAATGGCAGCATGTGACAGATTCAGGAGTTGTAATCTCACTATTTTGCTACTACAAATTTTGGCTTCTAAGCCCAGCGCACTTCCTGGGGGCCTGCAGGGAACTTAAAAATTCTGACTTCCCAGTGTTAATAGAATGCACCATTGGCCCCTCGTCCTTTCATTGCTTGTTCATACCCTGCAAGCTACTGTACTATTGCTGTAATGTTAAATTTGTTGTAATGAAAACTCTACTACTTTAGCTGGCTAACTGTATTAACTCGTTTGACTGCAAAAGACCTGCAGGAAGATTTATCAGACTGTGACACCTGTACAAATATCATCTTCATGGAAGTGTCATCAGAAGAAAACCTTTCTTTTGTTCTCACAAAGTTCAGTGTCAGAAGTTTGCAAAGGAACATCTAAACAAGCCTGATGCTTTTTCAGAAACAAGTCCTGTGGACTGATGAAGTTAAAGTAGAACTTTTTGGACACTATGAGCAAAGGTATGTTTGGAGAAAAAAGGAACACCGGTCCAGCTGTTAAACACGGGGGTGGATGGCTTCTACAACAGGACAATGATCCTAAACACACCTCCAAATCCACAATGGATGACCTCAAGAGAGGCAAGCTGAAGGTTTTGCCGAGGCCCTCACAGTCCCCGACCTAAACATCATTAACGATCTGTGGATAGACCTCAAAAGATCAGTGTATGAAGACGGTCCAAGAATCTCACAGAGCTAGAAGCCTTTTGCAGGAAGAATGGGTGAAAGCCTCCTAAACAAGAACAGAAAGACTCTGAACATGCAGGGCGCCCAAACTTTTGCCTCAGGCCCGTTTCATTTTTTGTTTTTTTGAAGCTGTAAAAGACTGAAATTAAAAAGTAATCTTGCCTAAAATATTTAAGAAATCTTTAACTTTATGCCTTTTGGAGATCAATTCATCTTCGACTTACTTAACTACTCACAGTAAACAAAATTTTGACCAGGGGTGCACAAACTTTTGCATGCCGCTGTCGACGTATGTAAACCTCCTTTATCAAGCAAATTTTTTGAAAAATAAACCTGGTTTGCTGAAGTTAGCCTGGTTTAACAGGTAATCTTGTTTTATGAAACAATCTTCTCGTGTGCTGTGCGCAATTAAAAGCTTTGATGCTTTATTAGGCCGTTAGTGCAGCAGGGAAACCAACCAGTAGGTTTGTCACTGGTGGATAATTTCATTCATTATTCTTTATCTTTCCGTCACACAGCCAGCCACAGCACCAGTCAACTGTCACAGAAGCTGAAGACGACCTACAAAGCCTCTACCAGCAAGGTACCTCTCTCCAGCTATTTTCGCCTGGTCTCTAGAGCTCAGAAGATTTGTCATCTGTGTAATTATTTATATCTGTGGGGGTAACGGTTACAGACTATCAAAAGCCCCTTTGTTGCTGACTGAGTGAGGAGAAGGAAGTCTTTCTCTTCCTGTGTAAGAGGGGGTAAACAAATTAAATTGTGACCAAAAATCATGACTGTTAACTTCATTTGGTTTTTCAAGTGTTTTTATATAATGATTTTTGGACTTTTAGGGTGTTAAATTAGGGAAACTTGATATTAAGCGATTATCACTGATTGACATCTCCCTTGACTTCTTCCTCTTTAATCTCTTGCCGATGTAGCCCTTGTACACTTTCCACAGCAAAATAGGTGGACCTCGCAACTTCAGTGTGGCTTCATGGGAGTTGTGGGGAGGAGATTCATGGGTAACTTCCTGAATGCTCTGTTTGTCACTAAGCACTGTGAGGGTCAGCTGTGGGCTGAGTCTGTTTTTAACTACAGTCTAACCTTGACTCCTCATCTCTTCTCTGCTCTGCACCCTGTCGGACATCATTTGGGTGAACGGCTGCATTTATTTAAAAAACAAACATACTGTTACAGTTTCTCATACAATCAGACTGTATATTTGGTCATGTTAATAGGTTATTGGGTACAAGTCTCTTTCCATCAGTAAAAACGACTTGTCAAAGTCAGTTGGTGTAATGCCAAAATAAATTTTGTGGAATTACAAAAGTTTAAAAAAACAAATTGCTTCCCACATCACAAGACAAGTTTACCAGGAGTCAGAATGGTCATGTGGAAATTGATTAACATTCAGTAAAGAGCTGTCTTCATACAGCTTTTAAAGGAAGAGTTCAGCATTTTAAGAGAAATGCACTTAAGTCCAGTTCAGACTAAAGATTTGCAATGAGACAAAACCCGTTTCAGAACGTTGCAGGTGACAGTTGCAGCGGTGTAAACTGTCCAGTCTTAGCTTGATTCAAGAAGAGGAAGAAGAAGAAGCGTATGTACTTTATTAATCCCTGAGGGGAAATTTCACTTCACAATTTCAGTTATTTCACTCGTTGTCACATACACACAGGCCCAAAATACACACACATGCACAAACAGGACCTATATGAAATGTCAAAGCGAGGGGGCTGCCTTGGACAGGCGCCCCGAGCAGTTGCTCAAGGGCACCTCACTAGTGCTCAGGAGGTGAACTTGCACCTCTCCAGCTACCAGTCCACACTCTGCATTTGGTCCAGGCGGGTACTTGAATCGACGACCCTTTGGTTCCCAACCCAAGTCCCGATGGACTGAGCTGCTGCCGTCCCCAAGCTGGCTGATGGTGCCGCCTGCGACTCAGCTTGTCAAGTTGCCAGTTGCTGGCTGTAGAACATAAGGCACGTCAACTGTTTCAACAGCCAGTCAACCTATGGTGAGGCTTACCGGTCAAGTCCTTTACAGACTGTCAGCAGAGAGCATGTTCGCTCACCCTCTGTCCCCACCGAGCCCAAGTTCGTCCGATTTACATCCCTGTGGCTTTTGAAACGCATGTTTATCCCCGCCCTGACGATGTTTTGCTGCGTCCCACACAAACATAGTCATCGACTGATTAATCGGCGCAGGTTAGTTAAGTCATTGTGGTGTATTGATTATGATTACAGTCCATCTGAATCTCAGGTCATCTGTTTGTGTTTTTGCAGTTTCATCACAAAAATGCAGCTGTAGCCAGTATCTCACTATCACTCTCCTCATTCTTATTTTTAGAGGCTACAAATTATATTCAGCTACAAAATAAGCCTGAAAAGCTGGAAATCAGAATGGAAGTGTAGAGCTTTGTTGCTATGGAGACAGTACACCATCTCGTCTAGTGGAATTGATGTAAACTGGTTTTCAGAACATTTCAGACTGGTGTTTTGCAAGTTAGAACCTGTCTCATAGTGAATCTTTGGTCTGAACTAGGCTTTATTTGGTTTCTTACCAACAGTTAGATGAGCAGATTGATACTACTCTTGTGTCTTTACGTTAAATAGGAAGCTAACACCAGCAGTCACTTAGCTCAGCTTAACACTAAGACAAACTGTTCAAGTAAAAAATCTGCCTGCCAGCACCTCTAAAGCTCAGTAATTAATAAGTTATTTCTCTGTGGTTTAATCCATACAAAAACTAGAATGTTCCGGGCTATTTCTTGACCAGAACCAATAAGTTGGAGTATCTGCTGGTTGCCTGGCAACTGCTCACAGGCAAAAGATAGTCCATCATATAACCTCTGTAAAACAGTGAAAAACAGACACGAGAGTAGTATTGATCTATCTAACTCTCAGCAAGTAATTTCCCAAGATGTCAAATCAGGCCTTTACTGCAGGACTCTACAGAACATATGCTCGTGAAAACTGAAGTGTGTGAATGTGAAACGTTTTGTTCAAGAATCAAAAGTTTCAAAATCGTGTCTTATACATACTGTATAATCTTTAAAACTGAACTGTGCCCCTTAACTCTTTCATTGAGGCATACCAGTGCCTCTAAAATGTAAGCTTAGAGCACTGTAATGTAAAAGGGTCAAATGTGTAATACGGCTTTAAAAGATGTCTTTGAATTTCTTTTCCCCATTCTCTAATTTTTCACCTTTACCTTGATATTGCTTCTCTTTAAAAGTAAGTTAGGTATTTTTTCAACTTGGACCCTATTTTCCTATGTTTTTGTGTTGAGATGACAAACAGGAACAACAATTTACACTGCAGCTGGCAGCAGCGAAACAGGAAGTCAGTTTATACCACTGACAGGCTCAGATTGTTATTTTAAGTGTCTGACAACTTAGGGAAAGGATCCCTACAGAGATAGACACTCATATTAAAGAGTAAGATCCTTTTTGTTTAACCAGAAACAGTCCTGAAATTGCTATTGCCAAACCCACCAGACTCCAAAACAGTAATTTTATCATTGTAAAACACACTTCATTCAAAGTTGAAATAAACTAAAGAAGACTCACAAAAGCCACCTTGGTTTGTCTTTTCACTGTTTCAACGATCACCAACTCTGGTTTAGTTTAAATAAACCTTAAATTCACCCAGTTAGATGTGAAAATATGCTGCCTCTATACATGCCAAAACTTTTTTACTTATTTGAATGGAGTTTGGTAGGTTTGGTGATGGCAATTTCGAGGGCTGTTTCTGGTTAAACAAACAAAGGATCTTCCTCTCTAGCAAAGAGGTCTGTCTCAGTAGGGATGCTTTCCTTTAGTTTTCAGACACTTATAATAACAATCTGAGCCTGTCAGTGGCAAAACAAACACTTGAAGTGGATGTAAACTGAAGATGTGAACATGCTCCAAGTGGTTACAGCTGCCATCACCAAACCCACCAGACTCCATTTAAAATAATAGTAATTTTAGCGTGTATAGTCCCAGCATATTTTCACATCTAACTGGATGAATCAAAGGTTTATTTCAACTAAACCAGAGCTGGTCATTATTGAAACAGTGGAAAGATGAAATAATGTTTCTTTTGTGAGTTTAATTTTGTTTCTCTCGGCTTTGTGTGAAGTGTGTTTTACAATGATAAAATTACTGTTTATTTAAGTGGAGTCTGGTGGGTTTGGTGAAGCCAATTCCAGGGTTGTTACTGGTTAAACAAAAAGGTAAATCTCTGTAGGGATCCTTTCCATAAATTGCCAGACACTTAAAATAACAATGTGAGCTAGGGCTATGCGATTGCCTCTAAATTTCATATTGTGGATTGTCATTGCTCTAGATTGCCAATACACAATTAAATCGCTGGGGGGGGGGGGGGGGGGGGGGGGGGGGGGGGGGGGGGGGGGGTTACGTCCTTGGTACGTCACTACCACGTTATTTTAATATTTTGCATCACATCACAAAAGTGAGCGTCTCCGGGTTGTCAGCGCAGTGGTGTCCTCCTCACTTCAAGTCGCTGTCATTAACTTTTAACCTGCAAAGTGCTGCAGTGCCGCAACATTGTAGGAATTTATGAAAGCCCTTGTGAGCATTTTAATAGTTACACATTAAAACAATATTTATTTGCAATTACTCTATTGAAAGACCCCGAAGCATGAGCAAACGGGCTGTGTCACTTTGGATCAAAGAGATGCACCCTGTCACTGTCAGGGCAGGGCTGACAGGGCACCCTGTGCTGAGAGGAGATGGATTGTAGGTCTTTTTGTAAACAGGGCTTCTCTGACAGTCACGTATTTCCCCAAAAAACATCTCTTAATGCATGGTAGAGCGCCTTTTTTTTTTTTTTTCAAAATGGCCTTGATATCCAGCAAATCGCCTGGCAACCCTCCAATCGCCAATATACGATTTTGATCGCTGATGGTCCCAGGCCTAACGTGAGCCTGTCAGTGGCTAAAACAAACACTTTTAGTGGGCATAAATTGATGGTTTGAACACACCTGGTATCATTACATTGCAGCCTGTTTCGCCATTGCTGACTGCAGCGCTCTCTCAATACTGGGTCAATTACAAAAGTTGTTGTTCCAATTAGTCACCTAGACAAAAAAACATTATAAAATAGGGTCCAGGTTGAAAACTACAGTACTTACCCTTTAAATTAAAGAAACAGTCTGAATGCAGCCAAAGTCTGAGCTACATGAAGAGTGGGTCACGATCCTCTGCTGATTTGTAAGTTAGAAAAGAGGATACACAGGATCAAGGGAGGACTTCTTAAATTAACAGAACTAGCTGCTATATAATCTACAGCTAACCTGTCAGCTGGCTACAAAACATGACCGACAACTAATTTTGTTCAGACTGACAGTACTTGAAACTAATGATCTGCACTAACTATACCCTGGGTTTATTACAGGGTTGACCTTCACTGGAATGGGTTATTATGCTTGTTGCCCATTATATTTCAATGACAGGGAACAAACAAGATTGTATTGTACTGTAATGTGATTGTAAACACAGCAGACAGAATGAGAGCATATATTAACACAGTCTCACACGAGGGAACCAGATGCTTTGCTGCTGCATCTAATGACTACCAATGATCTAAGCTTATTGCTGTGGTCAGCCGTCTGCTTGCAGCAGCATGCACAGTACAGGTTATGACCGCTCTGTGATAAATGAAACTACAATTCAGCCTTTAATTTGTTCACTTTGAAGCCTGCAGTGACTAAAGGCCATGTATAACCAGACCACTGGATATTTTTAGCGGTGCACCACTCGTTTGGTATCAGCACACACAGTGATAATCTATCTTACTTTCACTGATACTTGAATTGGCATTAGAGCAGTTGTGATATTAATGCTCTAGTGGCACACGGTTTGAGGCAAAGTGAAACCATCAACCTTTTGGCAGTTGCAGAGACATCCTCTGCAATATAACAGTGCTTGCTTACACACACACACTTGGCTTTGGCAGGCTACGAGGGCCCTCTAACACAAAGCCAGTTCAACCTAGTCCATCTCTCTCTGGCTTCACTGAGCCTGATGCTGATGAATAACAGTGTGGTATGACATATACAGTGGCATGCCAAAGTTTGGGCACCCCAGGTCAAAATTTCGTTTACTGTGAGTAGTTAAGTAAGTAGAAGATGAAGTGATCTCCAAAAGGCAAAAAGTGAAAGATGACACAAATCTTCAATTATTTTGTAATTTTAGTCTTTTAAAGATCCAAAATAATAATAAAGGAAAAGGGCCTGAAGCCCATTCTTTTGAGGTCTATCATCAGATTTTTAATGATGTTTAGGTCGGGGACTGTGAGGGAAAACTTCAGCTTGCTCCTCTTGAGGTCGTCCATTGTGGATTTGGGGTTGTGTTTAGGATCATTGTCCTGTTGTAGAAGCCATCCTCTCTTCATCTTCAGCTTTTTTTTTACAGATGCTGTGATGTTTGCTTCCAGAATTTGCTGGAATTTAACTTAATTCATTCTTCCCTCTACCTGTGAAATGTTCCCTGTGCCACTGGCTGCAACACAAGCCCAAAGCACGATCGATCCATCCCCATTTTGAACAGCTGGACAGGTGTTCCCTTTTTCTCCAAACATACCTTTGCTCATTGCATCCAAAACCTTCAGCTTGAACTTCATCAGTCCACAGGACTTGTTTTCAAAAAGCATCAGGCTTGTTTCAGTGTAACTTTGCAAACTTCTGACGCTAAATTTTGTGGTGAGGACACAGGAAAGTTGATGACTCTTCCATGAAGGTCATATTTGTACAAGTGTCACAGCACAGTAGAACAGTGCACCGCCACTCCAGAGCCTGATCATCTTCTTGCAGGTCTTTTGCAGCCAAAAGATAGTTTTTATTTGCCTGTCTAACAATCCTAGGAGCAGCTCTCTCGGAAAGTTTTCTTAGTCTTCTAGACAAAGGAGCATTATGCAACAGTTTGGACACCCCAAGTTGTCCAAACTGTTGCATAATGCTCCTTTGCTTTTTTGTCACTCTAAAATTGTACAAAAAAATGAACTTATCTTGCTTAAAATGTTGAAAAGCATGTTTCGGCTATAACTTCATGCCTTTTGGAGATCAGTTCATCTTCTACTTAATTAACTGTTCACAGTAAACAAAATTTTACCAGGGGTACCCAAACTTTTGCATGCCGCTGCACAGTAGGACACAGATATAATAGATTGAGAAGCTGCAGAAACACAGGAATAATATCTACGTATCAAACATAATGCTAAGGCGATACAGAAGAGCTAGAAGTATAATAGATTCCTTTTGAAAAAATATGAAAGTGGACAAAATACCCACCAAGTTGTTGCTATTATCCTTCCATGTATTTTTATTGTCTCATTATGAGCAATCTGAATAAAAGACAAAAACTGTTAAAAGTAATAATGGCTTTTCCTTCTGCCCCAACTGAGGAAAAGAACTGATAAAGAAAAAGAAATGACTGACTGATAATGCAGAAATGCTGCATTCATAATGAACTAAGCTAATTAATTGTGCACAATTAATATGCAGCTATAATTGCCGTTCATTAGCCTGTGGTAAACCATTTCATTGTTTGTTTTAAATCTAGAGTGGACACATAATTGTGTAACAAATGTTTAATTTATCTCTAACATAATTACACTAGAAAACAAAATGATTCCACTGATCTACAACAGTGTCTAGTGCTTTTTATCACTTCTCACTCACTGTGTGTCAGGATCCTGTAGGAATGATAATTGTTTTGTTTTCCAGAGAGCTGTCAGGCTGTCGACAGGATTTGATCCTCTGAAGTTAACCTGCTCTGAAACAACCGCCCACTTCGCCTAATCTGTTTGTCAGAGACCAAAATATGTGACGCATGTAGAAATGAAAAGCTACTGTTATGTCATGTGTTCGTCTGTGGTTTGGTTAAGGAGCCAGCTTTCAATTATATCACGTCATGTATCAAACACAAATTATAAAATGAGTAAATGGAAATTAATTCACGGGTATTTATATCAGCCAGATCTTTCAAAGTAATCCCATCAGGTCTGAAGACGTTGTATTGGTGCACCTGTAGTTACTTTTTTTACCTGGCCTCTTATCTAAGCAACACTGTGTTGCTTATCACAGAATGCTCATCCCTCTGTCCATTTCTTTCCTTTTCTTCATCATGCCCTCCTCTCATCTCTCCCTGCTCAGATTGTGTCCAGCTTTAAAGCCACCACAGGGTCCCGGGCTTTGTGCCAGCTGCTCAAGGAGTACATGGGCCATCGGGACGGGATCTGGGACCTCAGCGTCACCCGAACTCAGCCAGTGGTCCTGGGCACCGCTTCTGCAGGTACACCAAGGCACCTCACTGACTAGTTGGCTTAAAATAAAGGGTAAACGGTTGAAAACGTTCAAAGTAATGGATACAAAAAAAGCTTAAAGTCAATAAATAGCTCATATAATTAGTTATAAATAGCAATGAATGGCTGTAACTACAGTCAGGTCCATAATTATTTGGACAATGATACAGTTGTCGTCATTTTGGCTCTGTACACCACCACTATGGGTTTTAAATGAAACAATGAATACCTGCTTAAAGTGCAGACTCTCAGCTTTCATTTAAGGCTTTTTTCAAAAATGTAGTATGAACCGTGTAGGAATTACAACCATTTCTTCACACAGTCCCCCAGCTTTAAGGGCTCATAAGTATTTGGACAAACTAACATAATCATCAATTAAACAGTCAGTTTTAATAGTTGGTTGCAAATCCTTTACAGTCAATGACTGCCTGAAGTGTTGGACACATAGGCATCATCAGATGCTGGGTTTCTTCCCTGGTGATGCTCTGCCAGCCCTTTACTGCAGCCGTCTGCACTTCCTGCTTGTGTTTTGGGTGTTTTGCCCTCAGTTTTGGCTTCAGCAAGAGAAACGCATGCTCAGTTGGATTCAGGTCAGATGATATGACTTGGCCATTGCAGAACATTCCACTTCTTTGCCTTAAAAATGTCTTTGGTTGCTTTTGCAGTATGCTTCAGGTCAATGTCCATCTGCACTGTGAAGCATCGTCCAATGAGTTTTGAAGCATTTGGTTGAATCTGAGCAGATAATGGTGCCCCAAACACTTCAGCTTTCATCCTGCTGCTCTTGTCAGCAGTCACATCATCAATAAATACAAGAGAACCAGTTCCACTGGCAGCCATACATGGCCATGACATAACAGTACCTCCACCATGCTTCACTGATGAGGTGGTGTGCTTTGGATCATGAGCAGTTCCTTCCCTTCTTCCTTCTCTTGTCTTCCCATCATTCTGGTAGTTGATCTTTGTTTTATCTGTCCATAGTATGCTGTTCCACAACTGTACAGGCTTTTTAGATGGTTTTTGACAAACTCTAATCTGGCCTTCCATTTTTAAGGCTAACCAATGGTTTGCATCTTGTGATAAACCCTCTGTATTTATTCTAGTGAAGTCTTGTCTTGCTTACAAGAGCAGCAGGATGAAAGCTGAAGTGTTTGGGGCACCATTATCTGCTCAGATTCAACCAAATGCTTCAAAACTCATTGGACGATGCTTCACAGTGCAGATGGACATTGACCTGAAGCATACTGCAAAAGCAACCAAAGACATTTTTAAGGCAAAGAAGTGGAATGTTCTGCAATGGCCAAGTCATATCATCTGACCTGAATCCAATTGAGCATGCGTTTCTCTTGCTGAAGCCAAAACTGAGGGCAAAACACCCAAAACACAAGCAGGAAGTGCAGACGGCTGCAGTAAAGGGCTGGCAGAGCATCACCAGGGAAGAAACCCAGCATCTGATGATGCCTATGTGTCCAACACTTCAGGCAGTCATTGACTGTAAAGGATTTGCAACCAAGTATTAAAACTGACTGTTTAATTGATGATTATGTTAGTTTGTCCAAATACTTATGAGCCCTTAAAGTCGGGGGACTGTGTGAAGAAATGGTTGTAATTCCTACACGGTTCATACTGCATTTTTGAAAAAAGCCTTAAATGAAAGCTGAGAGTCTGCACTTTAAGCAGGTATTCATTGTTTCATTTAAAACCCATAGTGGTGGTGTACAGAGCCAAAATGATGACAACTGTATCATTGTCCAAATAATTATGGACCTGACTGTACACTGCCCAAAAACATTAAGGAACCTAGGGACCACTGCACCACCATAAGGTCTGACAATCACTGGGAATTTCATCCTGGTGCCTAACAGGTAGCCATGACATAGAGGTCTGTGTGACCCTCCAAGGATAAGCCTCCCCAGACCATCACTGACCCACTGCCAAACTGATCATGCTAGATGATGTAACAGGCAGCATAACATTCACCACGGCGTCTCCAGACTCTTTCACGCCTGTCACATGTTCTCATTGTGAACCTGCTCTCATCTGTGAAGAGAACGGGGTGCCAATGGTGGACCTGCCAATTCTGGTGTTCTCTGGTGAATGATCGAGCTGCACGGTGCTGGGCTGTGAGCACAGGTCCCACTAGAGGAAGTCAGGCCCTCATGCCACCCTCATGGAGTCTGTTTCTGACAGTGTGGTCAGAAACATGCACACCAGTAGCCTGCTGGAGGTCATACTGTAGGGCTCTGGCAGTGCTCCTCCTGTTCCTCCTCACACAAAGGAGCAGATACCAGTCCTGCTGCTGGGTTGATGACCTTCTACAGCCCTGTTCAGCTCTCCTCGTGGAACGACCAGACTCCTGGTATCTCCTCCATGCGATTTAGACCATGCTGGGAGACACAGTAAATCATCTTAATCGATAAAGAAAATAATTGTTAGTTCCAGCCCTAACTTGGATATGTCAATCACAGGTCATTGTTCTGCACACAGCTCACATCCCACAAAGTGGTTTTCAGTACCCAAATAATCTGTCGGAACTAAGGATGTTCTGTGCATTATTTACATCATTGTCACATCAGTTGTGATACCTTGGTGCAATTAGCAGAAAATGAGGACATAGTTGAGATGATTGATGGCGTCTGTTGCATTGTTATTGCTAATACTGTTGAAATTCTGAACAAAAGAGACAACCCTCACATAGACAGAAATTTAATGACTTTTCAGTTTTATTGAATGTGTTTTTTGTTTTTATTTCCATCATCTGCCTTTGCAAGAAACATTAGAAGCTCTAACTCTGTGTTTGCTGCTCACTTTATGTTCCTCCTAATGTCAATGTTGTACACAATCTCACTATAAAGTGGTCCATAACTGAATCTAACTAGAGAGCAAGCTTTGTGAAGACAGTACATTACAATATGAAATCACAACCTGTTTGCTATACAAATGTAAATGGCTTCCTGTTGTCCGGCTCTGCTCTCTCCTCACAGATCACTCAGCTCTGCTGTGGAGTATAGAGACTGGGAAGTGTCTGCTGAGGTATGCCGGCCATGCAGGATCAGGTAATGATTCGTATGAAACTTAAATATGTGTATTTGTATTTGTTGTTGTTAGATTTTGTTATAATTTGCAGTGTATCACTAGAAATTGGTTCAAATCAACCTACAAAATAGTGTTAAATAACCTTTCTTAAATGGATATAATGAGAATTTATTCAGCAAGTTCTGCCATGTATTATACCTTTTTTATTAAACTCTCTCTGGTTCATGCCTAAAACTATGAAGGAGGATTAGGGCCATGTTAATAACAGAATAAAATCATAAACCTACAACAATAAAGTCATAATATTACAAGAATAAAGTCGTAAATATCCGAGAATAAAGTTGCAAAACTATGAAAATAAAGTCATAAATCTACAAGAATAAAGTCAAAATATTACAAGAATAAAGTCAGAAATCTACGAGAATAAAGTCAAAATAATACAAGAATAAAGTCAGAAATCTACGAAAATAACGTCAAAATATTACAAGAATAAAGTTGTAAATCTACGAGAATAAAGTCAAAATATTACAAGACTAAAGTCGTAAATATTACAAGAATAAATTTGTAAATCTACGAAAATGAAGTCAAAATATTACGAGAATAAAGTTCAAAAACTATAAGAATAAAGTCGTAATATTATGAGAATAAAGTTGTTATGATAATAAAGTTGCAAAACTATGAGAATAAAGTCATAAATCTACGAGAATAATGTCAAAATATTACAATTATAATGTTATAAATCTACGAGAATAATCATAATAAGAGATTAAAATTCTAATTTTAGGAGAGAAAAGGTCAAAGAGAAAGACCAGACAGTCAGGTAACATGGTATAAAAAGTCCTTACTTTATTCTCATAAATTTATGAATTTATTCTTGTAGATTTATGACTTTATTTTCTAAATATAAGATTCCTTTTCTCTCTAACGTGGCCCTAATCCTCCTTAATATTAAAACATATGCTGCTGCAGCTTCGTGGTAGATAAAACAGTGTGTCTGTCAACATGTGCTCACTTGGCTTGTCTATAATAACAATATGTGATGTAACACATGTCTCATCATTGTTCTCTCGCCCACAGTCAACTCCATAAAGTTCCACCCCACAGAGCAGATGGCCCTCACAGGTGTGTATTTATATCCATGTGTGTTTCTTCAGTTAAATTAGCTGGATTTTCTTTATCAACATGTTCATCTTCTTCAGGACTGTTTGACCATCTCCTCCCCGCTGCTGTTGGCTCCAGCACTTCAATTTCTGTAGATCTGAATGTGCTGTGTGTTTGCTGATGTGAACTTGTGTTCTCCGCAGCCTCTGGGGACCAGACGGCTCACATCTGGCGCTACATGGTGCAGCTTCCTGCCCCGCAGCCACCACCAGATGTCAGTGTGAGTAACCTTTCTGTTCTCTTCTCAGAGTTGCTGCTGGAATAGTTTCTGAGAGGTGTGTTTTCTGTCAAAGGATTTATTAAATTTACCAAGTCAGTGAACATTTAGTGCATTTACAAATAGGCCACTTAAGTTTTCACAGCAAATTAATCACAACAGAACAAGATACTTGCTGTCATTTTTAATTTCTATATCACTGCAGGCATCTGTGTGCACTAACTGTATAACTGTGCGTTCTTCTTTCTGCACCCAAAAGGCTCCATGTGATGACGACCAGGACTCGTCAGACAGAGAAGAAGGTGAGGTGGATGGCGAGGGCCCTTGTGAGGTCCCCACCGTCCGGGTCCCTACAGCAACCCTGAAGAGCCACCAGGGTGTTGTGATCGCAGCTGATTGGTTGGTGGGAGGTCGACAAGTGGTGACAGCTTCCTGGGATCGTGCTGCCAACCTGTATGAGGTGGAGACGTCTGAACTGGTTCACGCACTCACTGGTATGTAAACTGGCTGACATTATATATCATAGTATTTATGGTATAATATGGTGTCTGTTATTGTCATCTTCTGGTTCACATACATTTGGAGTTTATCTCCAAGTTTTTCATATGTTAAACATTTAAGTATTTAGGTATGATCCTGAGGGTCACAGGGGGGCTGGAGCCTATCCCAGCTGACATTGGGCGAGAGATTAAGGCAGGGTTCACCCTGGACAGGTCACCAGACTATCACAGGGCTGACACATAGAGACAGACAACCATTCACACTCACATTCACGCCTACGGACAATTTAGAGTCACCAATTAACCTGCATGTCTTTGGACTGTGGGAGGAAACTGGAGCACCTGGAGGAAACCCACGCTGACACAGGGAGAACATGCAAACTTGGGCTTCAGTAGTTCTGAAGTGGAGGGACTTCTGCAGGAAGTGAATTCTAAATGAGCTGTCTTATTTTAAAAGTGTCAGTATTGGATACAAAATAAAGATGCATGGGAAGCTCCTATCTGTTCAGTGAACACTGTATTCAAGGGAAAAAAAAAAGACTCGAACCCAAGTCTAATGCCCAAAAATATTTCCAAACACCAGAAAGAGATTTTGACCACTGGAGGGGCACAGACTGGTCCTCGTCGCTCTCTGCAATTAAATCTACATGGTCCTGGAAGATCTGTTCCCTGTTCAGAACATGATCTGTAAGTAGGTCTAAGGTGCAGACATAGGCCGACTTTGGGTGTAGAAATAGCGTGTCAGATGTCAGTCGGCCCCAGTTTGGAGAAGCAGGCTGGAGTCTGACATGGAAACAACTTCCTGTGGCACTGCTCTGCAGGTGACACGGATACACACTATGCACAACAGACCTGTTGTGCAATGGGCAACGTGCAGTTTGTTAGTTCATAGCAGCACATGTACTGGAGGTACTGAGTGTGTAGGATTGTGAATAGTGACAGCTCTGTGTATGGACTGTAAGTATAATTTTTTTTGTGTGTCTTTTAACGGCAGGTACCACTTGTATCCAAGACAAATTTCCTTTGAGACATGTCTATCTTATCTCGTAAAATAAATCGTAAAAATATAACATGCTAAAATTATTATTGTAATGTAAATGCTATATGTTAGTTTTCAGAAGAAGTTTCTTCTTAAAAAGAGGCCTGTTGTTTTTGCTGCTAAAAGATTGAATCAAGACAGCTAAAGGTCCACATTTACCTCTGTCTGAGGCAGTAATGTCAGAGGTAACGAGTAACTGAGATTAAACAGAAGACAAAATGGCCTGCCTGGTTATTTTGTGGAACCAAATTGGCTGTTTGTGTTTTATGGCTCCCAGACTAAACAGGAAGAAACCACTGTTTCCTTTGCTTAGTGTCCCCACACAATGAAATAATTGTAGTCCAAGCAAACTGCCCTGCAGAAGCTGTTTGGAGAAATTAAATAGCCAGTTTGTGCCTCTTCCAGCACTTTAAACATCACTTTTTTACAACACTTGAAAGGAAATTCGCTGATTGGTGCTGTTTGGGTGCATTAAATAAAGTGGGGCTCTGATTGACATGCTCTTACTGTTGTACTAATGCACAAGGAGTTTATTAATTTGTGTCTTTGTATGCAGGACATGACCAGGAGCTGACCCACTGCTGTACTCACCCCACCCAGCGGCTGGTGGTCACCTCATCCAGAGACACCACCTTCAGACTGTGGGACTTCAGAGACCCGTCCATCCACTCTGTCAACGTCTTCCAGGGACACACTGAGTAGGTCCACACGTCATGAACCGACACCTGCAGTCTGTGTTGTGCCCACAGGGTGGTGCTGTAACATCTCTCTGCTCTGTGAATCCCTCCAGTATTTTCTGCCTTTTTTCCCTTTTCCTTTTACAGTGCCACATTAATTTACAGACCCTGTTGCTCTAAGCCAAATCCTCCACTTGCCTCTCATTCATTACTGAGCACTTCTCCTCACTCCGACGGTTTGCTTCCATTTCTCCCCGCTCTTTCTCTCCCTACCTCCCTCTCTCCCTCGCTCTCCTGTTCATTTATCTGTCCGTTTCTGCGTTAATCCCCCACTCTGTGTAATTTGGCACTTCGCTCGCTGTTAACACTCAATTGCAGACGCTCATTTCAAAACGATGACTGTCAGGCTTGTCTGTGGCTTTCAATGGCAGCGCTCTTTAAAAGGCGTAAGAAGAGTGTGTGTGTGTGTGTGTGTGTGTGTGTTTATGTTCATGTCTACATGTGTGTGCTGGCAGGCTGGTACTCTCTGGCAGCCTTTGATTGCAAGTGGGGGGATTACATAGAGCTCATTATGTACGACCCCAACATGTATAATTCCTGCAGATCCCACTCTAATTCTCTCCCATAGACAATTGGTATAATGAGATTAAGCACCAGTGTTTCACAGTTAACGACAGCCCTCCTCCTTTCCTTTCCTTTCCTTTCCTTTCCTTTCCTTTCCTTTCCTTTCCTTCCCTTCCCTCCATTCTTCTTTCCTTCCCAAATGGCCATCAATGGTCTTTAAAGTAAAAACTTCCCCACTTCTCCTTCTGTGGTACGTTTAAAGCGGCAAACCAAGTCTATAAACAGATAAAAACTTTACGTTTGCTGAAAGACTGAAAAAAACTTTTCGAAGTTATTTACTGCTTGGCTGCAGTGGTTCAGAATAAGAGAAGTGCTGCCACCTGACATTTGAAAGTTTGAGTGGGCCAGATAATAAGTAACTAACTTGAACTGGCCCTTTTTCTGTTAGAAGATTTTACATCCAGAGCTGCAACTATTGCTTATTTTTCATTATTGAATAATCTGCTGGTCTATAAAATATTTGAAAAATGGTCACCGTACTTTAGTAGTCCCAGATGATGTCTACTAAATTCTTTTGTCCAACCCCCCCTAAGATATTTAATTTAGTGTAAGACAAGGAAAAGAACCGACTTCTCACATTTCACACTTTAAAACCAGTGAACAACCCAGTTGCCAGAATAAATGTTGCCATTGTATGTTTATGTAAACCACGAATACGTAACATTTAAGTATTATTGTGCAGCAGATATATTGAAATGTTATGTTTCTTTATGTCATTACAACAGTGTAGGATAAGATCAGTGTTGGGCAATCTACTCTGAAAATATAACATATTACATTTAAATAGTTACCTACAATTGAAAGTAATCAGTAACTTTACAAAATTACTCTGTGTAGAGTAATAAGTTACTTAATACCCTACTTTTATTTTACTTTCACCAAAATTCCCTCAGAAGAGCTAGTGTTCATTTTAAATGGATGAGTGTCATGTTGTTTTACAGCAGCTCCAGTTTATTACAGTTCATTTCCTGTACAGTGCAGGTCTGACCCATTCATGTGTTCACATACAGTGGTTACCACTTTGTATTTAATTCCCCTAATTATATTAATAATAGCATGATGATTTAGAACAATTAAAGCCTAGACCTTTTTAAATAAATGAATATCCTTGGACACAGAGAGGGTCAGGCAGAGGATCAAAGTCTAAAAATGATGAGATATGGATCAGTATTTGTGGGCCTATGATATGAAACACAGTAAACAAATATTGAGGTTAGCACAACAAACAGAATGGCGTGCGATTAAGTCACTCTGTCAAGCGCAAATTAAAACACCACAGCTGGAAGACACACCTGTCGGTTCCCGAGTGTTTGGCATTGTTCGACTAATTTTTGCAACTATAGTTGTAGTGATGCTCCACATTAAAACAGCTTCTCGTGTGATGTTCAGTGTCATTTTGTATTAGCAGTAATGCATTTTGGTGGCACAGTGTTGCAGGGGTTAGCACTGTTGCCTCACAGCAAGAGCATTCTGCCAGCTTCGACCCTGCCGGCCGACTGGGGCTCTACTGTGCAGAGTTTGCATGTTCTCCCCGTGTCAGCATGGCAGTCTGGTGACCTGTCCAGGGTCCAATAGATAATCAACTCAGCTCTAGTGTGTGAGAGGGGGAGAGAAATGAGGGGCAAAGAGGAATACTGTTGACTCTATGTGTGTGTTTATGTTTTATAAATACAGTTTACTCATCCCCACACTTCTCCACCTACAGACTTATGAGCAGTTTGTTTTAATCAGATCCTACAACAATCACAGGTTTCTGTCTCGCTGCCATTTCTCTTGCAAATTTTCCAGAATCTCCAATATGGCATAATGACGTGGCATTAACGGCCCAATCTCCACATCCCTCCTGTGGAAACGGCAGAGGAGAGGAGAGTGTGAATGGTTTAATAGGCAGCAGAGGTTGAGAGCTGGAGGGGAGACAGCCTCTTGTTTCCACAGTCTTCACCGGCAATTACAGCTAACTCTTCCTGACAGTGAACTGCGGCAGCTAAAAGTGCAGCATACACCCTCTATCCCACCACCCCGCCATAATTGCAGAGTAATGACAACTGCACGCGAGCTAGCAAAACAGCCTAGAGCAAACGATAAGTGACAGCGGACTTGCTCTACAAACGGAATGCCATGTCACGTTTGTCTCTCCTGCCATCGACGGCTTTTGGAGACATTTGATTGCAGTTGATAGAAATGCACATTTGTGTGTGAGCGCGTGTGTGTGAGGGGTGTCTGTATGCAGATCTGACATCCTGTCTCTGGAGGAATACAACAGCACTTACCAGGTTCTCAGCGACTGTCAGTTTTGCTGCAGCACACCAAAATAACAGAGTGCTCTAAAACCTCTTAGTCGTCTGTACCTGAATTGTTTCATTTACATTTCACCTTTTAGGCATTTGGCTCGCGCTCTCATCCACTTACAATGAGCACACTGTGAAATTCCTTGAGATTTCATAAACTCACACATCAGTCATTAAGAGCGCTCATTAGGAAGGAGGATAAGGATCATAGTGCCACAGTGCCAGAACAAATTCTCCAGTTTAGCTGACAGATTTATGTGTGATAGAGATGTGCTGGTAGGTAAAGAAATGAAAAGTGTTTCTTTAAATCACACAAAGATGTGCCCCCTGTTGGATATTATATCAGTAATTTCTCTCAATTTAGTAGTATGTACTTTGAAACCCTTAAAATTCTCAAAACACTGCAATCATCACATCAAACTGTGCAGACTAGCACTTCATTTGTCGTCTGCAGTTCATTGTTCGTTGATACTTACGTAACCCAAAGTGTAAAGAGTCAGACATCCCTCAGAGCCAGCTGAATAAAATTCATTAAAGCTCGATTCATGCAGTCGCCAGTTTTATCAAGTTGTGTATTCAAGGGCGTCTCGCCGCCAATGTGCACCTTTCCACAGTTAAATTATTGTAAAAGACTAAAATTGACAGCAGTGCCAATCTGACTCTAAAGAGTTGCTGCCTGTCTTACTCTGTGGGCTCAGATTGGAGGTGACAGCCTCATCTTCTCAAACAGTAAAAGAAAAATTTACAGGGCTCAACGAGAAAGAAAAATGACAGCAAAATGTTAGTGGAGACTCTCAGTCATCCAGGCTCATGGTATTCTAAGTGCTACATCGCAGGCAACTACTTAGTCCAGTTACTTACGATATAGCACGCAGGACAACAAAAATCCACAACCCTTGATGAACACTTTAATGTGAGGTCCGAAATATGGTGACACCTGCAGCGGGCAAGCCTCCTGCTATGGGTTTGGGTGCTGCCCACGGGAGTAATATGCTTTATGCTTCAAAAAATAAAATAAAATAAAATGTAGCCCAGCCACAGACATTAACACCTACACAACTCAGGTTTATAGGATATCAGTCAGATCATAGTTTATCACAGCAGTTGTTTCCTCTTCCTGTGTCTCTCATGTCTGTCTTTTCATCTTCTTTCATGTCCTACACTTTTGTTAGATTTAATATATTCATTCATTTTCCGTGACTGCTTACTCTGTTTAAATAAGAAAGCGTATCCAGCTGACACTGGGTGAGAGGCAGGGTTCACCCTGAACAGGTCACCAGACTATCACAGGGCTGACACATAGAGACAGACAACCATTCACACTCACATTCACACCTACGGACAATTTAGAGTCACCAGTTAACCTGCATGTCTTTGGACTGTGGGAGGAAGCTGGAGTACCTGGAGGAAACCCACGCTGACATGAGAACATGCAAACTCCACACAGAAGGGCTCCCTCTAAAATTTGGTGGGGGAAAAATAATACCGATATATTGATAGCATTGTGCATCTCTAATTATTTTGTGTGACCAGAGCATTTCTTCCACCACACATCTGATATTTGCCCTTATGATCCACAGACATAATTTAATCATTAATTTGACCTCTGTGTGAAGGTGGTCTGAAATGCATAAAAATGCATGTTGTGAGCTGGTGCTGTGTCATATGGAAAACATCAAATATCACAATATTTTTGACCAAAAACCTTGATATCAACATTTCAACTTAGGGCTGGGTATCGCCACTGATTTCCTGAATCGTTTCGATTTCAGTTCACACAGTTTCGATGTGATTTGATTCAATAGCTCTTCAATTGGGAATATTTTAATTACAACACCATTTTTTAAAGCTTCACACATCCGTGGAAAAAAGCTCATATTAAAAGATCGATCTCTGATTTTATGAATCGATATCGGGTCATTCATATGAAGATCGATTCAAACCAGGTGAATCAATTATTTTAACCCAGCCCCATTTTGACTGTATTGTAGGGTTGGTGCTTTCAAATAATAATTACACAGTGAAATTTTTGATAGATAATTATCAGTAACATGGGTAAAGGCAAATAACAGAACCGTTATCCAGTCTTTAAAACCAGGAAATGACATCTAAAATCTAAGACGATATCTTGTCTCATCATAATATCAATTTAATATCACTCCATTGGCTGGCCCAATTGTGAGGCAATGAGCTATGGAAGTGAGAGCGATTATTTTATTTGAGTATACAACAGACTGTTTCAGACTGATGACAGGTTTCATCTCAATGAAGACGAAGGGGGGCAATTTTAAGACGTCATTACACAATCTCAGTGTCCTTGTAGAGGCTGAAGCTACAAGTGTGACTGACAGAGTATAACAATCTAATGTAACATCAGTTGATTTTGAACAACTTAAGGTGCAACCTAGACACGTCAACAGTGATGTAACTTAGGGTCATCAGGTGCTTCGGGTCTTTTAACTTCATACACCCTCCCCCAGGCGACCCAGCCAGGGTTGATCAGACCCCTGCCTGTGTCTAGGTAGCTTGTGTGGTCCCCTTTTGATCCACAGCCATCCTGATGCCCTCTCAGCAGCAGCAGTGACGTTCCTGATGGCTCTCTTGCTGTGCAGACCTCTGATCCCCAGAAACTTGAGGGCCCTGTAGAGCGACTGGCCAGCCAATCCTTGGCAGGCGACCTTGATGGAGTAGCATCAGGTAGCACACGCCTGCGAGCTCCTCATACTTGGCCTTCTTCCTCTCAAATGCCTCTCCCTTTATGGTCTGCCTTCAGGAAAAGCTGTCAGTCAAAAAGGTTTGGGAAGAAAAACTTGACTCAGAATATCACACTGTCTTACCTCATGTCTCGGGGTGTTCTTGAAATCATGGCGCAATTGTAGAAAAAAAAAAATCTGACCTCTTGAGCGCTACCTTTATGTGGCTAAGGGACCTTTGGGCTCAGTGGTTAGGGATTCATCCAGCTCACCTTAACTTCCCTCTGTATGTCTCTCTCCTTCTTCCTTCCGAACTCCCTAAGTCTCCGATCGCAGGGAGTCTTGACCTTGGCTGTCAGACACACTGCAGTGATGCCATTAAGTAACGCTGAATACTTCCCTCCCTCCTCACCACCCATTCCAAAAACCCTTTAACCTTAATCAACCTTTTAATCAATTACCTTGTCTGATTACGCTCCCCACACACCTCCCACCCAGCGCACCTCCTATCTTTCCTTCTCTCTGTCTCTCTCTTGTATCCCCAGGTGGGCTGTACCCTGCAATGTCAGAAGGTGCCTGTAACGATACAGCACTTTCCCCGAGTCCCGGCCCCTCTAATAGGACAAAGTTTAGTCCCCTAATTAGCCCTTAATGCCACGTCAATTTGAATTAAGAGGGAAGCCAGTTTTAGAAAGAAAAACTGGATGTAGAAGTCTGGACAACGCTCGTGTGTGAGGGGACACTGCTCGACGCTAATCTTAATCAAGAATCAGAGCTTCTTTTTTTTCCAACTTCCCTCCACGAATGAACAGGCACAAAAGGGAGGAAGGAAGAAAAAACTCCTCACAGGAGCGACTGACATACAGTAATAGATTGGAAATATTAAAGGTCTATTAAATGAATGGCTAGGCCTGAGCGCAGTGCTATCGTGTGGAGCAGTGCATCACGGCTGGTTGGATAAAGGCCGTGGGAGGAGGGGGATGCTGTATGCATATAAAGAACGTGTCTGCCTCCATTGTGCCAAACATAGCTCATGATATGATGAAGCAAAGTACATTGTGTATTTGGCAAAATTTATCTTTTCATCAGTTATCTACAAAGACTGAAGTCACATTTATGTTAGACTTACAGAGTAAAGTTTCTTTTAAACTGCCCTCTTCTTGTGTACAGTTTCGAGTCTGCTGCACCTTTGACCACACTCGGCATCAAAGATTGATGTGATCAGAGTTGTGATCACCTGTAACTACATCTGCAGACATGTCAAGGGCTGGGTATGGGTACTTGATACCTTTTAAGGCAGGGATACTCAATGACAGTAGGTCAGGGGCCAGTCAGCTGCCCTGCACATGTACACAGGGGCATTTCTAGGATTTAAGGACATTCGGCCTCAGGCCGGAGGTCATCAGGGGATCCTCCTCTGGCACTTTTCGATAATCAAGCTTTGTTTTGATACTTTTTTATGCACTCTAGCACCTGAAGCTGCGTTCACACCGTCATTTCAAGAAGAGTAAGGTGTTGAAGGGGAGGCAATTAAGAACATAGCAGTAAGGGTATGAAGCAGGTGCTACCTACATGATTTTGCTGTGCTGAGCTGATAATGTTGGTGTCTGAATACTCAGAGCTGTACAGCACAGCACAAGCAACTTATAACCAGAAGAAAAACTGGGCCTGCAATATAGCGGTGGGCGATATGGACCTTAAATGATATCATGATATTTCAGGGTATTTTTGCGATGACAATATTCTTGACAATAGACACAGACTCCTGTATGCACATTGCATTTTTTGGGGAACGCTTGTGTGGGTAGGCGGTTTCTGCGCCCTGTGAATTAGAAAATGGTTTTGGGGGGCTGTCCGGCACCCTATCGGGGGCCAGATTTGGCCCACTGGCCATAAGTTGAGTATTTCTGCTTTAAGGTACTGACCAAAATAACTTAGTACCAAGTAGTATTGGAACTTCTCCAGTCAAATGTTGCGTGCATATGGTCCTTTTGTACCCAGATCTAGAAAGAGAAGTCTATTTCTATGGTTTTGCTCGCAGCCAATCACAGCAAGCGTTCTTTGATTTAACTCAACATGTGATTGTTGGCAGGTCGGCATGCTGAGATGCCACCATAACGTTTGATAGGATGGCTATACTACATGCCTGTTGACATTTAATGCAACTTAATACTGTTGGACCTTTAGAAATAACAGACATATTATATTAACTCATCTGTTTAATACAGTATGTCACTGCCAGGGTACTGACATGGCTCCCCTACTAAAACTTTAATGAACTCAAGTGAACTTAACTTAAAAAAATAGAATAAAAATAGAAACTGTGGTTTAATTAAAAAAAGATGGTGTTAAAAGAGGAACAAAAGCAGCCAAATTGGATCACAAAGCGGTGTGATCTTCTGTTGGTTGTTTTAACATATTAACAACACGTGTTGCAATTTTGAGAGTGTGAAAAGTTGTCAACAAGCGAGAGGAGATCTTAAAATAGACGATTAAAATAGTCCAGTGATGGATACAGAAATGACTGAAAGTAAAGAATAAAAAGTTTATTTAATTAGTTAATAGGAACAAATGGTTGTAACTATATCCACTTTTATATGATTAATAGAGATTAATACCATCCAGTTTATAATCCATTTGTATAAACATACCGTAGTTAGAGCTGCAAAGATTAATGGATTAATTAAATAGTTGTCAATTATTAATCAGTTATTATTATCAATTAGAAAAAAAATCTCTGAATCTTGGTTCTTAAATATATTTTTTTTCTGGTTTCTTTCCTCCTCTGTGACATTAAACTGAATATCTTTGGGTTTATAGGCTATAAACTAATCAGTTAATCAAGGAGATAATCATTAGTTGCAGCCCTAATTGTAGAGGAGCCAGTGAAGTGGTACTTTGCTGTTGGGAACCAGGGCCTAATACACCCAGAGATATTCAAGCACAGCCACCACGGTAAAGTCATGTTGCCCATATGTAGCTCTGACCATTTATTTTCTCTTATAAATAAGTTTTTGATCACATTTTTCAGGTGATGTGACAGGATGCAACTGGGTGTATTTCTGTGTTTGTCTCTAGTATTTGGTTTGTTGAACATGATCAGAGATTAGCAAGCAAAGCAGAACCCACCTTTCACACCTCATAATGGCTCAAACACATTCGATGGCGTTAACACTTTCAAGTCATGATTGAGCCCATCAAGTTTTCCTGCCAGCTACACCTTTGTGACAGAGGCGCAGCAGAGTGTGATCCATCCCGACTCCGTTTCTTTTCTCCAGCGGGAAGGTGATACCTCGGAGTGGCGCTGAATCACATGTTAAATCAAGAACCACACAGTGTTAACTTTCTGATGTTGTACCTGATACATTGTCTCTGGGTTCTAATAGTGTCAGCACTCATAACGTGTCTTGACATATCACGGTGACGCATGTGTGGATGTCACTTATCTTTTAAGTGTGCGAGTAATTACAGTGTCTGTGGGAGAGGGCGACTGGACTGGCTATAAATATTCACTCTACGTTTTCCTGCATTGGAAGAACCAGAGGACTTTGCTTTCTTTTCTCTTCCACTCTCATCATTGCACTTAAATTAGACTGTGAATCTCCCTAAAAAATTCTACACTTTTGGTTCATGTTGGAACGTGCACAGTCTTTGTGTAACATATGGCCTCTGTTTGTGTGTGTCCATCTTTTGTAGCACTGTGACATCAGCAGTGTTCACGGTGGGCGACAATGTGGTTTCAGGGAGTGACGACCGCACTGTAAAGGTGTGGGATTTGAAGAACATGAGGTCGCCTATAGCAACCATCCGCACTGACTCAGCTGTGAATAGGTGGGTGAAAGGAGGGGTGAGAACCAGGCTCTGTAGTTGTGCATTTATTTGGAAATTTTAACATTAACAATTCCATGAAAACTGGCAATCCGATACGATCAAAAGCTCCAGAACAGAGACTAAATGAGCTCTGAAGTTTGATAGTTTTGGAGCTCAATATTTAAATTGCTTTACTTATTTTAACATCCCTACTTCTGATTGACCATCCATTTGTTCCATTATTGGCTGAATGCTGCTTTAAGCTTCTGATAAGAATAAATTCCTTTAAATACTTTTTAAATTTAAAATGCTACAGCTCATTGATAGAGGCAAGGAGTTGTGTTTAAACTAGGTAGTGAAATTGTGCTTGAGATATTCATGTAAATATAGTGCTACACACACCATGCAGAATCTTCTGTCACCAGACATTATTTAAGAAATGATGTAATGCAGAATAAAAGCTGTAGTTGCAGGAGAACTTAAAGGAGTGCATTTAGAATAGGAGTATTATCCAAATGTGACCCAGATTCAAAGTGAACTTGATCTGATCTTTCAGGATAAGCGTCTCTGCCAACCAGAGGATCATCGCTCTGCCACACGACAATCGACAAGTCCGACTGTTTGACATGAGCGGAGTGAGGCTGGCCAGACTTCCACGCAGCAACAGAATGGTGAGGAGGGAAACAAAGTGAATGGGAAGATGTGTGTTTGATCAGTCGATCAGCATCGGGGGGGGGTCATGATTTTTCAAATCCACTATTGATTTTGAAATTTTAAGGTCATGACTGGATTTGATTTTTTTAATGAATCTTTTTCTCAGCACCAAAGGCTATACTCATGAGTTTCTACATGGTCTCAAGTGAGATATAACTGTCTATTTTTCATGAATGTACCACACTAAGGCCATATGGTCAATTAAATGATTGATATAAAATGTAACTAACTTATTTCATCAGTCAACTAAAAATGTGTTGCGTCGGGTTCATACTGGATGTGGATGTGTGATTTGTTAATTGTCACTCAACCATCTGTCAGCAGTCGCCTGGCCGCTCACACCAGAATTTCTCTACACTGATCAGCGAGTGATTCTGCTCTCTGCTCTGTTTAAATTACACGTAGAGCTCTGTCTCCGTCTGTGTATGCGTGCGTGTGTGTGTGTGTGTGTGTGTGTAGACACATTAATTGTTTTTTGCTCAAGCATGTTTAAGTGCATAAATTATCCTAGTGGCTAGCAGACTTTCCTCCATTCATAACTTAACTAAGTACACGTATAAGTTATACATTTTTTACTCACCGTTTAAGTCGCTGCATCTCCTGACAGAACAGCTCTGTTGAGTTTCAGCCTGCATGCACGATTTTTCAGCCGAACATTGTTAAAACAAAGCAGCTAATGTTGCTGTAGTGAGAAGTTAGCCAAGTGAGATGCTCGAACCAGGCAGGTACAACGATCTTATGTGAAGTCATTGTTTACATACAGCATGTGCTCTGTCTTTTGACCCCTTTTGTCTCCGAAATCAGAAATATTTCCACACTGCTGATTTATTCCAGAGTAAATAACGTTATCCTCATCATCTTACTCTCGGCTTTTTTGCCATCTGCCTGCTGCTGTTTGACGGTAGCGACTTGTCAAAATAAAAGCGCATCCTAAAGATGACAATGTAGATCAATGTTTTCACTTTGAATCAATGATACTGGATCGTTGATCACTGAAACAATATGTTGATCAAGATTGATGGATGGTTACACCCTTATTAGCTACACTGTGTCGTCTGTGAAGTGCTGTTTTTTTTTCCTTTGGACGTGTGCAGTCAGGTGGGGATCAGAGAAAGCAATAATACTGGGAGAATCACTGGTCCTGCTTTTGATTTAGAATCAAAATTGTGACACCTCCTTATCAGCCCCATTAAAACTTAAATCTTAAATGTGTGTGTGCAGGGTCACAGGCGAATGGTGTGTTGTACAGCCTGGAATGAAGAGAACCAGTCGTGCAACCTGTTCACCTGTGGCTTCGACCGACAGGCCATCGGCTGGAACATCAACATCCCTGCGCTGCTGCAGGAGAAGTGATGTCACTGACACACACACACACACACACACACACACACACACACACACTCACACACACACAACAGAAACACAGCAAAATAGGAGACGGTACACAAAAACACTGTAATCTGTGGCCTCGCTCGTGCTTGTATGTTCAAAGTGTCTATCTAGTGAAGCATTTTAGTTTTCGTGAAAATACTACCGTTACGTTTTAGGACGCAGATATTAACACTTGATCGGAGTGTATTCCCCTGATGAATTACACTAATTTACTGTGTACACCTGCAGATGAAACCTCCTGGTGTCAAATGACTGACATGGTTACCACATTTTAAAGTCCAGGTGCGTGCGAGGCCGCAGAGCTGATCTCCTGTGTTTGACCCTCTCCCTTATTTAGCATGCATTGTGAAGTTGTGACACGGCTAGGCTGATTCTTTTGCTCCTAGCCTTTTCTGTTTTAAAGTATAAAAGTATATATATTTGACTCCACAGTCATAGGCTGCTGTTCACATCACTGTTGTTTAGTTACTGCTGAATGGTTGCTCTTGCATGTAGATAATCTCAGTTTGCAAATGTTACTTGTAAAGAAATGAGAGAACGACTATAAGGCCAGGAGAGTTTGTAGAATATGATATAAAGAAGTTATGTATATATTATGTCGTGGCCTGATTAAGTGACCTGTGCTGCAGGTTCTTGCTGTTTCATGGATTAAGTGTCTTACAGAAATCTACCTGTTACGGGTGGAGTTTGGCAGAGACAGAGTGGTTCTGTGAAATGTTTTTATCCTTTTAGTCAGACTTGAAATATTTCTCATCATGAAACAAAACAAATAATATTCAGGCCTGACAGGTGACCTTCGCAGCACTCAGGCTGCGGGGTCATTTGGTTGTCTTAAAATGTTTCAGGATCTGCTGTTCTGTCCGAAAGTTTTCACCAATTAAGATTCGACTCTTTGCCTATTACCTTTGATGCTTTCAATTCACAGCCAGCCTCTGTATTTCCAGATTTTGTTGTCAATATTTCAATTGATACTGTAACTGCCTTGTTCCATGTTTACAGTAGGATTTCATTTTCTAACGTTTTGCTCCGTTCTGCCTCTCTGTCAGACTGCAAAGTGTCAAGAGCATAGCAATAATGGGAAAACGACTGCACTTCTGTTGTTTGCAAATCTTTTGTAGGTCTGTGATCGGGATGTGTTCGACATTATCATAACCTAGTATTTTCTGTATGTTGCAGGTTTAGGTGTCAGTACTCTTAGCCATAATATGCACCCATGATTCCTCAGTGTTGGTGAAATACAGACCCAATCTTCTTCAGCCTGTTGCCAACTCAGATCCCTGTTGCTGTAATGTGTCATCCCCAAGTGAACTTGTCAGTTACTGGTCATTTCTGTGCTTCAGTAACAGCCTGTCAATATGAAGTTATAGTGTTTACACTTTGCATTGAACCCTTAGCCTTGTATGACCTCTTGGACCTTTTGTTGTGGATGGCGCTGTCAAGTCTGTGAGAAGCACTCTTTATCCAAATTCAGAAGCAATAACCCAACTCCTTTGTGTTTCTGGTGCTCAGAGTGAAGCCCATTTGTCTTATGGATATCAGCGACTTTAAACACACACTGAATCTCATTTTGAGAACTAGAAGAACTAGATGAGTTGGGCTTGACCGGAATCCAGGAAACTCTTTATTTGTTACACTTGTGCAATATACGAAACATGAAGTCATGCTGTAGTTTCTGATCTTCTTGTTTAACTTATTTCAGTGCTGTAAACCCAATACAAAGATTTTATGTACTTGTGTGACTGGTGTAGATGTAGCTCAGTGTACATAGGTATGCATAACTTAACCCAAAGTTGGCGTCAGACTTCACACTTTACCGCTGTTGCTACCAACAATGGAGTCAGGATGGATTTTGAAGTGGCATGAACCTAAAAATGTAATAAGCGTATTGAAATGCCTTACCATTGCATTGAAAATGGTGTATTAGCCTTATCCATCTGAGCATCAATGCACTTTTCCAAATTCTAGTTAAATAACTAATTGTGTTCCACTGCTCAGTGCAGATAGGATTTTTATCCCTGTTTCATTCAAGGAACTCAATCTCGCGCCCACTGATATCAATGGCATTTTAATCTGCAGGCAAGTCTGATTTGTGCCCCACATATGAATTCCAGCTCAGAGGAAATATGATTCTGGATTGATACATTAAATTATTGTGTGCCAGATTGAAGGGGGGTAAAAAAAAAAAGTGGATAGGCTTCGCTTCATTGTAGCGAGTCATATTCACCTCAAACTTCATTATGTGATCTACTTTGCATACTTTATTGTGACGGGTACGTGCTCTGACACTTTCCAATAAAATGTGTGATTTTCTTCTCCCAGTCTCTCATGTCCCTTTTTCATCTTATTCAACACAAACCCCTCTCACCCTTTTGTTCCATTCAATAAGAAATATATCACTTGAAAACTACACATTATTCATCCTGGTGTAAATCTGGTAAGTTGTAATGAAGTCTAGTGTTAATGAAAGGAGAACCACAAGGTGTATGGATATTTGTACTGAGTGCAAACAGAAACTTTGTTATTTGGCCCATGGCTGAATTAACACTTAGTTTTAGTTAGAGTGAAGTTTTGTTGCTAAATAGTAGCTTAAGGGAAGCCCATATGGCATCCACAGAGTTGCACGCAGTTGGCAAGTAATACTTATGAATATGTGCTTTATAAACTTTGGTGAGAAACTCTCTTTGAAGTAGGCTAAATAAGGATGGTTGGTTTATCTTTCATAGTTTAACATGTAGCTGGGGCATAATCACAATGAACATTTTCAAACAATATCAAATTGTCCTACCCAATAATGTATTGATTCAGAATATAAGACATAATGTAAGATGTGGCATAGTATGTAAACCAGTAAAAACTCACAAAAAATGTTTTGATTAAGTCTGCCATAAAATGGCAATGTAAAAAATGTATAGTCATAGTGTACTATAACATAAAAATGTTGTATGCTATGCTATAACATAGTCATAGACTGTCATAGTATAGTAAGCCAAAAAAAAAGTCCAAAATGTCATGGTATAGTATGTCGAAAAATAGTCAAAAACGTCATAGTATAGTATGTCAAAAAGTCATAGTGTATTATGTCATAAAAACCTATAAAAACGTCATAGTATAGTATGTCGAAAAAGTCAAAAATGTCATAGTATATATGTCCTAAAAATGCATAAAAACGTCATAGTATACTATGTCGGAAAAAGTCATCACAATGTCATAGTATAGTATGTCCTAAAAACGTTATAGTATAGTATGTCGAAAAAACTCATCAAAATGTCATAGTATAGTATGTCCTAAAAAAGCAAAAAAACGTCATTGTATAGTATGTTGAAAAAAGTCATGGTATAGTATGTCGAAAATATTCATAAAAACGTCATAGTATGTCGAAAAAAAGTCATTGAAATGTCATAGTATAGTATGTCGAAAAAAAGTCATTGAAATGTCATAGTATAGTATGTCACGAAAATGCATAAAAAAGTCATAGTATAGTATGTCGAAAAAAGTCATAGTATGTTGAAAAAAGTAATAAAAACATCATAGAATAGTATGTCAAAAAAATTCATGAAAATGTCATAGTATGTCATAAAATAAAAGTCATAAAAATATCATAGTATAGCATGTCAAAAAAGCCCAAAAAAAGTCATAGTATAGTATGTTGAAAAAAGTAATAAAAACATCATAGTATAGTATGTTTAAAAGAGTCATGGAAATGTCATAGTATGTCATAAAATAAAAGTCATACAGATGTCATGGTATAGTATGTTGAAAAAAGTAAAAAAAAGTCATAAAAATGTCATAGTATATAGTATGTCAAAAAAAGTCATAAAAATGTCATAGTATAGCATGTCAAAAAAGTCATAGTATAGTATGTTGAAAAAAGTAATAAAAACATCATAGTATAGTATGTTTAAATAAGTCATGGAAATGTCATAGTATGTCATAAAATAAAAGTCATACAAATGTCATGGTATAGTATGTTGAAAAAAGTAAAAAAAAAAGTCATAAAAATGTCATAGTATATAGTATGTCAAAAAAAAAAGTCATAAAAATGTCATAGTATAGCATGTCAAAAAAGCCCAAAAAAGTCATAGTATAGTATGTCGAAAAAAGTAATAAAAACATCATAGTATAGTATGTTTAAAAAAAGTCATGGAAATGTCATAATATGTCATAAAAAAAAAGTCATTAAAAATATCATGGTATAGTATGTTGAAAAAAGATTTGAAAACGTCATAGTATAGTATGTCGAAAAAGTCATAAAAATGTCATAGTGTAGTATGTCAAAAAAAAAGTCATAGTATAATATGTTGAAAAAAGTCATAAAAATGTCTTAGTATAGTATGTCAAAAAAAGTCAGTATAGTATGTCGAAAAAAGTCATAGTGTACTATGTCAAAAATGCATAAAAACGTAAGAGTATAGTATGTTGAAAAAAACTCATAGTATGTCCAAAAAAAGTCATAAAAATGTCATAGTATAGTATGGTGAAAAAAGTCATAGTTTACTATGTCATAAAAACGCATAAAAACGTCATAGTATAGCATGTCAGAAAAAAGACATGGTCTAGTATGTTGAAAAAGTAATAAAAAAGTCATAGTATAGCATGCCATAAAAATCCAAAAAAAAAGTCATAGTATAGTATGTTGAAAAAAGTCATAACAATATCACAGTATAGTATGTCATAAAAACGCATAAAAACGTCATAGTATAGTATGTTGAAAAAAGTCATAGTGATGTATGTCGACAAAATTCATGAAAACGTCATAGTATAGTATGTCCTAAAAACGCAAAAACGTCATAGTATAGTATGTCGAAAAAAGTAATAAAAACATCACAGAATAGTATGTTGAAAAAAGTCATAGTATAGTATGCTGAAAAAGTCATGAAAACATCATAGTATGTCATAAAAAAAGTCATAAAAATGTCATAGTATAGTATGTCGAAAATGTCATAAAAACATCATAGTATAGTATGTCAAAAAAAGTCAGTATAATATGTCGAAAAAAGTCATACTTTACTATGTCATAAAAATGTCATAGTATAGTATGTCCTAAAAACGTATAAAAACATCATAGTATAGTATATCGAAAAAAGTCATAGTAATGTAGGTCAAAAAAGTCATAAAAATATCATAGTATAGTATGTCATAAAAAAGCATAAAAACATCATAGTATAGTATGTTGAAAAAAGCCCAAAAGAGTCATAGTATACTATGTCATGAAAATGCATAAAAACGTCATAGTATAGTATGTAGAAAAAAGACATAAAAACATCATAGTATAGTATGTCGAAAAAAAGTAAAAATAAGTCATAGTATATTATGTCGAAAAAAGTCATAATGATGTGATAGTATAGCTTGACGAAAAAAGTCACAGTATTGTATGTAAAAAAAAAAGTCATAAAAACGTCATAGTATAGTATGTTGAAGAAAGTCACAAAAAAGTCATGGTATTATGTCATACAAACCTATAAAAACGTCATAGTATAGTGTGTCAAAAAACTCAGTATATTATGTCATAAAAACCTAAAAAACGTCATAGTATAATATGCCGAAAAAAGTCATAAAAACATCATAGTATAGTATGTCGAATAAAATCAAAAAAAGTCATAGTATAGTATGTCATAAAAATGAACAAAAAGGTAAGAGTATAGTATGTCGAAAAAAAAAGTCATGAAAATGTCATAGTATAGTATGTCAAAAGAAGTCATAGTTTACTATGTCATAAAAACCCATAAAAGCATCATAGTATAGTATGTCGAAAAAAGTCATAAAAATATCATAGTATAGTATGTCATAAAAACGCATAAAAACGTCATAATATATGTCGAAAAAAGTCATAGTAATGTATGTTGACAAAATTCATGAAAATGTCATAGTATAGTATGTCAAAAAAGTCATTAAAATGTCATAGTATAGTATGTCGAAAAAAAGCCCAAAAAAGTCATAGTATAATATGTCATGAAAATGCATAAAGCGTCATAGTATAGTATGTCGAAAAAAGTCATAGTATAGTATGTTGAAAAAGGTAATAAAAACATCATAGTATAGTGTGTCGAAAAAAGTCATGAAAAGGTCATAGTATATCATAAAAAAAAGTCATAAAAATGTCATGAAAACTTCATAGTATAGTATGTCAAAAAAAGTCATAGTGTACTAGGTCATAAAAACGCATAAAAACGTCATAGTATAGTATGTTGGTCACGCCATAGTATGTCATAAAAAAAAGTCATAAAAATGTCATGGTATAGTATGTTGAAAAAAGTCTTGAAAAAGTCATAGTAAAGCATGTTGAAAAAAGTCATAAAAACGTGATAGTATAGTATGTCAAAAAAAGTCATAGTATAGTATGTTGAAAAAAGTCATCAAATGTCATAAAAACGCAAAAAAAACGTCAGTATAGTATGTCAAAAAAAAGTCATGGTATAGTATGTCGAAAAAATTCATAACAACGTCATAGTATAGTATGTCAAAAAAAAGTCATTAAAATGTCATAGTATAGTATGTTGAAAAAAGCCAGAAAACGTCATAGTATAGGATGTCATGAAAATGCATAAAAACATCATAGTAGAGTATGTCACAAAAACGCATAAAAATGTCATAGTATAGTATGTCAAAAAAAGTCATAGTAATGTATGTCGACAAAATTCATGAAAACGTCATAGTATAGTATGTCACAAAAACACATAAAAACGTCATAGTATAGTATGTCAAAAAAAGTCATTGTATAGTGTGTTGAAAAAAATCATAAAAACGTCATAGTATAGTATGTCGAAAAAAGTAAAAATAAGTCATAGTATATTATGTCGAAAAAAGTCATGATGTCATAGTATAGCTTGATGAAAAAAGTCACAGTATTGTATGCCAAAAAAAGTCATAAAACCGTCATAGTACAGTATGTTGAAAAAAGTCATAAAAACATCATAGTAAAGTATGTCGAATAAAGTCATCAAAATGTCCTAGGATAGTATGTCGAAAAAAGTAATAAAAACATCATAGTATAGTATGTTGAAAAAAAGTCATTAAAATGTCATAGTATAGTATGTTGAAAAAAGCCCGAAAAAGTCATAGTATAGGATGTCATGAAAATGCATAAAAACGTCATATCGAAAAGTCATAATATAGTATGTTGAAAACAGTCATAAAAATGTCACAGTATAGTATGTCAAAAAAAGTCATAACAATGTCATAGTATATAGTATGTCAAAAAAGTCATAAAAATGTCATAGTATAGTATGTCGAAACCCCCCAAAAAAGTCATAGTATAGTATGTCATGAAAATTCATAAAAACGTCATAGTAGAGTATGTCGAAAAAAGTCATAATGATATAGT